CCCAGTCTGTGGTATTTTGTTACAGTAGCATGAGCTGCCTGAGACAGAAAAATACCAGATAAAGGGCACATGTTATTTCAAAACTGAGCAGCCCCTCCCTTGCCTGGTCCATGTAAAGCATGCACTGAGAACTATAAAGCAGTAGCTACTTGTTAGTCCTTGACCTTAGTGTGAGGGTCACAAGTTCCAGCAGCTTCTGAGGAGCAATCCAAAAGCCCAAACTTGAGTACTTCATTAGACAGAGATGGATCATCACGAGAGGAGTGAGTTCAGCTGGCACCAAGTCTGGCCTCCCTGGCACACCTTGCAGAAGGGAACATGGAAGGCAGGGAGCGCACTGTTCTCCTCAGTCAATCTCAAAGTTGCAGGCCTCTGAGGCCAATTATGAACTTAAAGGGGCACACGAGGACCAACTGCCCCACAATATGTCAACGTTTGGGGTTCACAGCATCTTTGGATCAGTTCAGGGGATTATGAGCACAGGTCCAGGACTGCTGTTTAAGTTATGTGATCTAGCAACAGGCTTTTTCAGAACTGATGATACAGGAAACACTGCCCTGTCCTCCCATTGCCCTGAACACTATGGAAATTGTTGTTGCTTTTTAAGATGCATATTATCATCATCCCTAAATTCTGTCAGATAGTGAAGCCTGCCAATATTACCTTGTTGGCATCTTAATCCACTACTGAAACTTGTTACTAATTAATGTCTGCTTATTGACAAGGAACATTCTCCAGCCTGCTTTAATGACCAAGCTAATATTTTGACATTGTTTCTTGAATCAAGACTCTACAGATGCCCCAACATGATTTCCTTCCTACAGTGGGAAGACAACTAGGATGGCAGGTGGCCAGCCAGGAGGCCAGGGCTCCCCAAATGGCTTGATGCTGTTCTGTGGCTGCAAAGAATGCAGACAGGCTGGGTGGAACAGACTTTCCAAAGCTGTTTCTACAAATGTCCAGTTCCACCTCTTGGCAGCCTTTAGAGGACAAGTCTTGTATTCATTTCATTCCATAAAGAGATACATAAAGTACAAGTATAGAACACAGAGGTCCTTGGAACACTAACCTACCCTGTGTCTTTGTACTATCTGCCCATCAGAATGGGCAGAGTTAAACACCCAGACACACTGACCCTGAGCAGGAGACTCCAGAGAGGCATAGTTCTGTGGACTTTTCCAGTGGGGAAGGCAAATGCACCAACAGAGCCAGGGCCCTAAACTGGACAGAAAGCGGGCTTTGCTCATCTTGCCTGTCCCATTAAAGACCTGAGTCTAGTACTGTGAAGTGTGGGGAAGGCCTTTCCATTCAGTCACCAGTGACTTTAAAACCAAGGTTCATTTTCTGAACAGTAAGCTTTCCTTCCTCCTACTCCACACTCTACAGATCCCATCTCCCCTGTTGGGACAGCTGCAGCTCCCTAGAGCTTCACCTGCTATAGCATCAGTCAGCTGTCAGAGAATGTTATTTGCTTCAAAATCATTTTGCAAGCCCATGCACACTAAAGGAAGACAGACACTCACACAAAGGGAAGGGAGAAGCACATCAGGAGGAGAAACAATGGCAGAAAGAACTGGAGGAGAATCCCCAACTGCAAAGGGTTCCTTCACTTGAATCACCTGCTTCTTCTGTACCCCTACACATATATGTTGAGCTGCCCTGGGGCAGGAACCACACTTGCTGCTTCCTTGAATTTACCTCCCCCCCTCCACATTCCCCCACAACCACACCCAAATTCTCAGCCCTGGGCTTTACTGCTTTCTTCCAAAATCCGTGGAATGTTCGGCTGCTTCAGTGAAACAGAAATTAATGTCTACTGTGACACCAACCCCTGAGTGTTCTGATTGCTTGTTAAAAACATACATCTCCCCAAATCTGATGAATCCACATCAATAGATGAGGAGCCTGGGAATCTCCATCTTTACCAGCCTGCCAGCTAAATCCTATCAGGAAGGTTGGGAAATGCTGAAAGAACCATGCTCTATAGTCAGAACCACTAGGTTCAAATTCCAATTTGGAGACTTCTCAGCTGTCTAACTGGCGTGTTTTCTCATCAGCAAAAGGAGAATGATAATGTAGCTTTGTAGCATTTATTGAAAGGATTTAAAAGTGATTTAAAGAGCATTTACAAAGGTCCAAATGCATAGTAGGTATTTCCCCAATGTTCTCCTTTATACTGAAGACACTGGGGAACTAACCAAAAGCATCTGAGCAGATCGCATCCAGACTGGTGCTTTCACTTCAACCCCTCTGCAACAACCAGGCAAATGGCTGCCCAGCCTCTTCAGTAACACCTCCAGTGACAAAAGAGCAAATGTACTATCTCTGGGAGCAGTCCATTCCATTTTCAGACCGTCTTAATCATTAGCTCTTTCTTCCTTACGTTGAGCTTAGATCTGCCTTAGATGACAGAACAAATCTAATCCCTTTTCCACATGATGGGGTGATGCAATTAACTTTGAAAGACAAGTGAGGAGGAGTAGGCGTGTGTGTTTGGGAGGTGTCCATTTTGAGCACACTGATTGTCTAAGGCACTGGGAGGGCAGCTTTGTGCATGTGACCAGCAAGTAGTCGATATGCAAGTCTGGAGTTCAAGAGAGAGATCAGGGATGTCATTTACACAACAGGATTTGAAGCTATGAAAATAAATGACATTGCCATTTAGGGGGTAGAGCTAATGAAAAGTACTGAGGAAAGGTCCACAAGGTAGGAAGACAACCTTTCAAGAAGGAGGTAGATAATTCACAGAAACAAACAGACCAGTGGCAGAGCACCAGTGAAGGACTCACTGAATTTGACACCTAAGAGGTCACCACTGGTCACTGACAGAGCTGGGCTTCTGCTCCTCTGGAGCCTTCCGGAGCTGCTTGGAAGCACACCACCATGCTGAAAAGCAGATGCACAATTCCTTTCCTGCTGTAAGTGAGGCAATCTGAAGAAATAGCAGCAGCAGGTACAGATGACTCCCAACATTTCCCCACCTGTATATTAAGATGGGTTTCCGCAAATAAGGCTTCCACGCTCTTATCTTTTGGGGAAACACTGCCTAGTACAGTCCCCCCTGGAGACTAATCATAGTGAAGTACTTTATTTTTCTGTTTCATACATTGCCCAACTTACTGAACCATTGACTTTTCACACAACGCTTACTAACATCTTGAGGAATTAGTGTTTCCTGGCACATAATTTGGCAAATGTGGTGAGCAGGAGCGACAAGACAATAGTTTAAGAGACTGTTGATATCAAGGGAGTTTCTTTTTCTTTTTAAGAGCAGAAGAAATGTTAATATGTTTACATGCTGAAGAAAAGGAACCAAGTGTAGAGTAAAAAGCCAAAACAGGCAGGAAAGGGCAGGGAGCAAGCCAGGCTCGGGGAGAGGGGTTAGCTTCGTGAAGGCCCTCAGCTTGCTGCTTTAGCCATAAGACATTATTTCTCTGGATTAGGTGTAGTGATCACTCCTTGGAGGATAGAGATGTTAACTCTAGCTAAGGTTAAGTGCAGATTATGTCAACTGCCTAAACTGATTCACTAGAAACCAAGTGCAGTATCCACCCTCCTGCCAAGTTAGATGGAATGTATCCCTCGCTCAGGCCAGGGAAGGGAGCGCCAGGTCTTCCAGGCCAGGAGCTAGGCCCACTCCCCCTGCCCAGGCAGAGAGCTCTAACACAGGATAGGCAGAGAGGGGGAACCTAAAAATAAAGCTTTGTGAAGAAACTGTCTTGCCTAAAGAGCAGCTTCCCATGCACACTGGAGTGCCACATCTGCAGAAGCTGGCAGCACCAGAACGGAACAATCCTGACCAAGTCAAATAACTATTACCCTTTTGCAGGGGCGACAGCACATTTCTGATTCCCCCATCAGCGCCCCAGTCTAGGTTGCAGCCCCAGAGCAAGGGCTTAGTGACAGAAAGCAGGAACTGAAAAGATCACCCATGACTAGTCCAGCCTTCCACCTGCTCTTCTCCCTTCACAGTGGGAGGTGAGCACAGCAAATGTGAAGAAAGCTGCTGTCAACACAAGAGAAATTGAGTTGAGGGTCCATTTTAGGAAAGAACTGTGAAGGGTTCTAGTGGGCTCCAGGCTCAAAGCTGGCTCCCTCGGCTCCACTCCCGGCAGTAGTGTCTACACACACACAGCTACCTCCGGCTGGGGGAAGGTTTTAAACCTTGGAGGGATACAATGAACTCACACCAGGCTGTTAGGAATTTTGCCAAGAATCCCAGGCAGGAAGAAGGAAACTACCCTCAGTTCTAGGAGTCCATACTGTTCATTTAGCAGTCCAACTCCCGGAGAGGTTTGTACTTTGACCCAAGTAAAAAAAAAAAAAAAAAAAATATTACAATATGCCTCAAGGGTCAGAAGCTCAACCTTCAGCCATATCTCTGAATAGCGTTCAATGCCACATACCCATTCCCTCCCTCCACCCATTCTGCCACCCCCCGCCCACCCCCACCAATGGATACCATCCTGTCCATGACCCATGCCTCCAATACTGCAGACCAGTAGGCAAGGAGTGAGAAACACAATTAAAAACAAAATTCCAGAACACAGCAATCTGTCTGTCAGTTCTTTGGTCTCTTAAAAGAGACCCTGTACCAGACCACAGGGATAGTTGATAGGCTTGGATACAAACCTGATGTCTATTATGCATATGTGGAAGGGCGGGGACATGCCAAGTTTTCCCCTCAAATCACAGATTGCAAGCAAAGTTCTTTCAAAATGGAGTGCTATTTGAATGCTAACTAGCAACAATCACCCAACCATCTTTTACAATTAGAGCAAACTGAAATTTCTCCGCACTGAGTCATTCATGAGTAAAAAGGAAGAAGCCAGCTAACAAAAGGGAGGAGATGCTGACCATAAAGTACACAGGCTGAGCACACAAAGTGTTGTTTCCGTACTGGGAGTACACACTCCCTACTCACTGCTTACACAAGGGCTGGGTTGGCACAGAGCTCCCCCCGTGCAACACAGGGCCTGATGCTCAGAAGGGTGACTTACCTGACATACAAAGACCTCTTCTCACTTGTCCGGAGGGACCCAGACCCAGAGCTCATGCTGCTGTTCATCATTTGTTCTCGCAAGTCATGTATCTTCGACTCAAAGCGACTGTACTCTGTCAGGGAGACAAGGGAAAAGACCAAAAAAGAATGAACCCAAGGAGCAGCCCAGAGCCTGAGCGCCAGTGGCCAAAGAGCCAGGTGGACACTTGGCTTCAAAGCAGCCAGAGGCAGCCCAGTCCGTCTTTGCTTTGATAGCAGAACCTCCTCAAGCACAGGAAGACAGACTTTTTTCCACTCCCAGACTACTGCAAGGAAAGAATACACCTGAAAAAGGAGTAACTTGTGGACCTAGCAAATGGGAAAAGCTTTTTTTCTATCTGCCCTGAAATCTCACTGATCCTTAGGAAAAAAATAACAACTAGAAAGAGGTTCCAGGGCAGCCTTCATAAATCTTAAGAGCAGGCACTAAGGCCCAAGGAGAGCAGATGGGAAAGGAGACTTTCCCAAAAGTGGATTGCAGAGAACAGATGGCCCTGAGCAGGGTGGAGGGGCTGGGAAGGGTCTGAGGCTATTGCCATTATATCACAGTAAGGCAAGCAGAATGACTTATTTCCAGAGGACTGGTTTTTTTGAGGGGGTCAAAACAAGCTTCACAATCAGATGAAGAGATCACAAAGCTCTCCTGAGTTATTTCCCTTTTAGCAAACAGAGCCTTTGGCTGCAGTAACAAACATCAAGCAGAAATTCTCCCAAATGTAGAGTCTGCTCACACCTCTCTCCTCCAAAACCACCTCGTCAGTGGGGTCATAATTCCTTGCCCAGCTTTGTGGCCCACTGACACCACCATAACAGCCAAGGTAACTAAAGGTTTACACCCAGCTTAAGAAAATGTGATGGAGAAAAATTAATTAGCCATACGAGTATTATTAGAGGGTTTTGATTGAGCTGCTTTGCTGTGACACTCCCCTCGTATGTTTAAATATGATACACACACACACCCTCCACATACACAATTACACAACATTTTTCAGGTTCATAATTCCTTTATCAAGTGGCACATATCTAAAGCACAGGCTGTGGAAATGGTAGAAATCAGGCATACTTCATTATGACAAGCTGATTTTAAAGGAAGTCAAAATTTATACTAAGGGTTGAAAGTTGGGAACTGCTTTTAAAAACCAACACATTTCCAGGGACAAAGAATTTCACAAAAGCATCTTCATGCACCACAGAGGGCTGGCTAGAAGCATCCACATCTAGTCTGTAATGACTCTAAGGCAGAAAACAAAACCCCTGTTCCAACACCTGACACTCTCCTTCCCTCAGCAAAGCAACCTGACCTTCAGCTGCATATAAAGGGAAATGCTTAAAAGCCCAAAGGAGAGGAAATGGGAGTTTGACTTGCCCAATTATCTTCTTCTCAACAAAGTTTGTTTGTGTTCACTCTGGTATCAATGAAGCCAACTGGTTAAATTCATGTGCTCTTTCATTTATCATGCACTGGTGTTACGGTGATTTGTCCTCATTACCTACTCCCTTCCCTGAAATCTTGCAGGAAGCAGTTAAGTCACTGACTCACCCATTAAATGTTGGGGGAAAAAAGAGAGACAGCAGCTGGACATTGTCCCTGTTCTGAGGATTACAAGGCAACACATCAATATCACTGAGGTAGAAGGTGGTGACCTATACCTTCTGTCACAAAAAGCCCTGAACCGCTTGAGAGCGCAGCTCATGGCTGTCTACTTCTAGGACCACCCAAGCACCTGACCCCACCCCAGGGCTCAGCCCTCCACCTGCCCCTATCCAGTGGGCTCCTTTCTGGCCCTCCTCTGCTCTCACCAGCTAAGAGAACCTGGAGGAGACAGATTTCTGACCAAGCAGCCCTTTCTGGGGGAACATTAGTAAAAGGCAGAAATTATCACTGAACCCAGAAAAAAATCCACCCAATCTATCCCTAAGCCATCCCCCTAGGCCCCTTGCAACTTGCTTATACATTGCCTTCTTTGGAATTGACTTTCCCACTAAACTTCAACTTAGCAGCATGTCATGGCAGTTGCTTAGTAACTATTTTTCTTAAAAAATCCTTTAAGAAACAACCACCAAACCACCATTTCCTCAAGGCTCCTAATCCAAAGTTGATAATGCTAGGCTAGAGGGACCACTAAAAAAGACTACGCAGAGAACAGGCTACTGTTTCAAGGAATCCACTTTGTTTTCCACAGGCTACTAAGATTTCAAATCTATTACATGATATTTTATTCATTATTTTCCCATTCAGATGATCCCCTTTAGAGTTCCAGCTGCTCATCAGTCTCTGGCTTTTATTTGTAGTTATCTACTGTCCACTAGGCACACACGCTACTGCCTCTGAATAAATGATTGTTGGGTAAGTAAAAAACAAATTAGAAAACTGTGCCCAAGTAGACAATTCTATTCTCAAACTAATAAACCTAACAGTTTATTTAACTGATGGCTGCCAGCTTCACTGAGGGGTTGGAAAGGTAGTTAAGAAGTAGTCCCATTTACTTTTGTTCCCAAGGTTAATTGTTTGGAGCAACTGGACTGTTTGTCTCTTAAACATGCTTTTGAGATGTTAATAACCCGCACTAACAAAGAAAAAATAATTCAACTTTAGAATAGTCCATAGGACTCATGTAAATATTAGAAGCATCATTTTCCCAGGACAAAAGCATCTCATTAAAAGCATCTGCATTCTAAGACCTCACAATTGGCCAAGGTCCCTCCTCCCCTTCCACTCTTACCTAAGGAGGCCATCGCTGGAAGGCATCTCCTAAGCCAGGTCACTGCCAAGGAAGCCCCACCAAACCAGCCTCTAGCCCAAAGGGCCCACTTCAAACAGGCTACTTTAATAAAACAACACTTATTACTAAACTCTCAAGTCTACTAAATTGTGTTTTATTCATTTTTTCCCATTCAGATGAACCCAGCCATTTGTGACCCACAAAGACATCTACAGTGAGTCATCGCTCCCTAGTCCCTTTGCTAATCACAGAATAACAAGGGGGTTGGGACACCACCAGTCAGCATTCCGAGAAACACCGACCATCTGAGGTGCCTCAGAAAGATTACGATTTTGAATCCCCACACAAACTGACTCAGAACCTACAGTGACCCCAGGAATCTGCATTTTTAACATGCATCAAAGTGATTCTAATGTCTAATAAAGTTTGAACATGCTGGTCTTAACTTACAAAGCTGGGTTTTGTTTTGTTCAGGGAACAGATAAGGTAAAGATCCTGTACCATGTCTCAAAAAAGGAAGATAGGGCAAGAGGGTTGGAAAGCTCTTAAAAAAAATTGGCAATACAATTGCAAATCTCAATTTGGGAAAGGAAAAGTGCCCGAGGCCTCTGTCCAATATGCCTGCAAAGAAAGCCAATGAGTTTACAAATTTTTTAAATTATAAAAGCAGTACATGATTTTTAAACATCTTTTCTTCTCTTTACACATTCCTGTATCATTTCCCCATCACAGCAGAAAATGTATTTTTTGCCTTCTTTGGAATTGACTTGCCCACTAAACTCCAGAAGAAACTAGTATTTCTAGTGTGTATCCTTCCAGACTTCCACACACATATTGTTTATATACATATGTTCACAAGTCACACAGATTCACATGCATCAACTTCTTTCATTCTCTGTTATGTCATGGAAACCCATCCCTATCAGTACACACAGACCTACCTCATCATTTCTAATAGGTCTGTAGCAGTCCGTATTATGGATAGACCATAATTTATTCAGTCATATCCCAACTACTGTACACTTAAATTGTTTACATTACAATCAGTGTTGCACGTTACATGTGTATGAGTATTTCTTTAGCATGGAATCCCAGAAGTAAAAACTGCAGGGTCAAATTATCTGCCCATGAAAAAAATCTGATTGGCACTACCTCAAATTGAACCTCAACATACTGAAACCCTTAGGACTGGAAATGAGGATAAACTGCTGTTCATGCTGTTCAAAGCTTCCCATATCTTTTCTGTTTCTGAAGAACTTACCTTGAGGACAGACTGATCTTTTCTTTGGGGGAAAACACTTTAATGAGCCTTTGATAATGCAAAAATGAAGCCAAGATTGTATTCTGGAATAGACAAAGAGGAACCTCCAATGGAGGTTCTGCTTAATCACAGAAAAGGTTAGTCCTCCTGTGGGTGGAGCTGCTGGTTCAAAGGGCTTGTCCCAGCACCTGTTGTATGACAGACACTACTACCTCTAGAAATATCTGCCTCCAGACTTGACCACTTAACCTCCCTCTACTTGACAACCACGTGCCAAACCTCCCTGTGAATGTAAATGTCACCCCCTTTCCCCTGCCCGCAACCAGTGTTTCCTCACGGTTTGCTGATGTTTCTTCCCAAATGTGTCCTCAATCCATCTATTTATTTATTTCACTGCCACTGCCTCTTCATTTTCTCTTCACTATTTTATCTCTTGCCTTTTCTCTCTAGGCCACAGTGTGTCATCTCTCCTCTGGACTACTGCTATATTGCCCTAAGTGGTTGTCTGCCCCCAGGCTCTCCAAAGTCCAATCCACCTTAGATTCTTATTTGAAAAACCTTCCTTAAAATGTCAACTTGTAGTCCCCGTGTCCAAGTGTCTATAACTCAACAGCAACTAAATAAGTTTACTTTAATATCTCAACTGAACTTTCAAGAACTGCTACAGCTATCCTCCTGTGGTTCCCAGTCTATCTCCTGCCAAGCCCACCTCTCATTACACAGATGCTCTTTTGAGCTGGCCTGCCTGGAACCCTTGAACACTACTTGTTCATTCCTATCTGTTATTCTCTTCTCCTGGAATTTTCTCCCCTGTCTGACACTGAACATCCTTCACCACCTCTCTTTCCTCATCCCAGTTTTCTTCATTCCTTTATTCAAATATTTACTGCCTACTGTGTACCAGGCACTGTGAGAGCTGCAGGGATATAACAACAATCAAATCAGTTCCTAAAAACGACATTATGAAACAACTGTTTAACTACGACTTTCACTACAATTGTGACAATTGCTGTGAAGAAAACGCTAGGAGACTAACAGGGTGACCTAACCTACTGGGGGGATTTGGGGAAGGTGTTAAAGATTTCCCTGA